TTCCTTTCTATATTTGCAAACTTGACAGTGACAATTTCAGCAATGAGTCAATAATCAGTCAATATATGCATTCCATTGATTTAAGAAATGCAGCGGTCCTATCTGATGGCTTATTAATTAAAACATGATCATTGAATATGCCACGTAGGCTTACATATCAGCCCAAAAATAGTTATAATAAAGAAAGAACAAGTGGAGTATTGTTCCTAATGCATATTTGTCCTTTTACTCAGACCAAGTTGAGACCCAATAAGTTTGAATAGTCAGTCATATTCTGAAGGTTCCCTTATCTTTCCATGAAAAACATGCATCTCTATATATATAAATCAAAACTCTCACTCATCACTCTCAAACACTTCACCTGCAGCAAACTAGCAAACTCTTACAAGAAAACATATATAATTCTTACATAGTTCGATTCAAACCGCGTGCAATGGATTCGAAGTTATTACATAAAGTGAGGCCTTATTTGGGTGTTATTTTCTTGCAATTCGGGAGTGCCGGTTTTGGTATAGTCGCAAAGGCGGCTCTAAATCAAGGCAGCAGCAATTACACTTTCGCCGTCTACAGAAATGCAATTGCCGCTGCCCTTTTCGTCCCTTTCGCCCTCATTTTCGAGAGGTCTGATAATAATATTCATTCTTATCCCTTTCGTATTATTTAATAAAATATATCACATTCTATACATGCTTTTCTATATAAAATTTTATTGATTATTGAACAGGAAAACAAGGCCGAAAATGACGTTCAATGTATTTTGGAAGATCTTGTTGCTTAGCTTATTTGAGTAAGTAGCTAGTTTGAAATTGAATATAACTAAAATGTCCAATTGCATTTGAGATTTATTGTTTTTTTCTTTAACAGCCCGGTTATCGGTCAGAACATGTTCTATGCCGGGATGAGATATTCATCGGCCACGTTTGCTGCAGCCCTTTGCAATCTCATTCCTGCTCTCACTTTTGTATTGGCTTGGATACTTAGGTTAGTAATAATTACATATATGCTAGCAATTTGTACAAAAATAAAATAGGAAATCCATATTAATTTCATTTTGTTCTATACATGCTAAAGTAGTAAAGAAACAGATGATTAATTTGGATGTAACTAATTAATATTTTGCACAGGATTGAAAAAGTGAACTTCAAAAGCCTTCGCAGCTATGCAAAAATTATGGGGACTTTGGTTACTGTAAGTGGAGCCATGATTATGACTTTGATTGTTGGGCCCGTGATAGGATTGCCATGGACACGCGAATCCCATGATAATCAACAAACTTCTGCAGAAGATCCAGTTAAGGGAGCTATCATGATTGCTGTTGGTTGTACTGGTTACTCCGCTTTTTATACCCTTCAGGTATATACATACATTCCAAACCTATATTATTTAAATTTACACGTTTATAGTATTTACTCAAAATACAAGTATTTTGTTTTTGGATGGATAATAGGCAATTACCTTGAAATCATACTCTGCTGGGCTTTCTCTAACGGCTATGGTGTGTTCTCTTGGAGCCTTCCTCGGAACTATTCTCACTTTCGTGGCCCAGAGAGAAAATACTTCAATTTGGGCCTTTGGATGGGATGCCAAACTCTTAGCATATGTCTATGGGGTAATTTTTATATATGGCTAAGATAAATTTCCAATTATATGTAAATCTTTTATTTTTTTATTCATTATAATTATTTTTTTAGGGAGTGGTGTGTTCCGGCATAACATACTACTTATCCGGGGTGATAATGAAAGAAAAGGGACCAGTTTTCGTTACCGCATTTAATCCTCTGGGCATGGTCATCGTCGCAGTTATGAGTTCTTTCATTTTCGCAGAGCAAATGACAGTCGGAAAGTGAGTTTATACATCTTTATGTATATATATAATCTCGTGCACATACACGCTGTATGCCTATAACATGAAAAGTTTCAACAATTTCTAAAGTCGATAAAAATCTTAATGATGCAGGATATGTGGTGCAACAGTTATTGTCACTGGGTTGTACTTAGTAATTTGGGGCAAAAGTAAGGACGGGAAAGTAATAGAAGATTCCCAACAACTGCCAAAAACATCCAGAAGTCTTTCGACAAATGTTGAACCGAAAGTTGAACGTGCCACGAGCATCCGAATCCGTACCCAGTCGTTTAATCACAAACCATTCACTTTATCATCCACACCATCATTTCATTAAATATCATTTTAAATGCTTCTACATGTGTTATACACTACTTTGAAAAAATGTGGAATCTATTATTAAAAAAAATAATAATAATAATAATAAGTTGTTAGTTGTTAGATGAAATGAGGGTTCGAGAAGCTTCCACACAGAGGCAAACACATTGCATGCACCAAGCACCTGACTGTGCATCAGCTAGAAAATTCGAGCTGACACAATCCTCTGCATTTGCCTTGTTTGGATTTGAATGAACGGTATTGATGCAGCCGACACATTGTACTGTTTAGTGCTTATTTATTTAGGGTTTCGATCATATATATAGGACAAGGTTGTAACCAAGTTGTTTAGTTTACCGAATGAAGAAAGCATGAAAGCATTAATGGGAAGAACGATTTTTTTTTCCTATGACGAAAATTTTAGTTTTAACAGCTGACTAAAATAACTCGTTGATTCCAACTTTGTACAGCTCGCAAGTTGGGTTAGGCGAGGATCTAATTCAAAATTTTAGTTTGAACAGCTAATTATGTTGCCTAAATAACTTGTTTATTCCAACTTTAAACAACTCGCAAGTTGGGTTGGACGAGGACCTAATTCAAAATTTTAGTTTGAACAGTTGATCATGCCGGCTAAAATAACTCGTTGATTCCACTTTGAACAGCTCACAAGCTAGGTTGGACGAGGACCTAATTTCAATATTTTAGTTTAAACGAGTGATTATGTTGGCTAAAACAAATCGCCGATTCTAACTTTAAACAGCTCGCAAACTGAGTTGGACGAAGACCTAATTCAAAATTTTAGTTAACAGTGAATTATTTTGAGTAAAATAACTCGTTGATTCCAACATTTAACATCTCGCAAGCTGAGTTGGGTGAAGACATAATTCAAAATTTTAGTTGGAACAAATGATTATGCTGGCTAAAATAACTCGTTGATTCTAACTTTGAACAGCTCGCAGGCTGGGTTGGACAATGACCTATTCATAATTTTAGTTTCAACAACTAATTACGCTAGCTAAAGTAACTCGTTGTTTCCAACTTCGAACAGCTCGCAAGTTGGCTTAGACGAGAAAAAAATATATCCAAGTTGATTGGATTAATCAATTATACAGAATGTTTGGAAAATAATTATCTATTTGATATGCAGAAACAACTAATATTATGATCTTCTAATTCAAAAAACTCAAATATTGAATTTTTGTCAAAATTAACTTTTTTAAAACTAAAAGGCTATTTTAAAAGATCACCTTGGCAAACAATCAAATTAGAGGTTCTACCGGATCAAACCTTCTAATTAAGCATCAAAATGCTAATTACGAAACAAGGTCATAATCTTAAAAATTGAAATGCACTACCTTCAAAACTGAAATGCATAACCTGCCAAATTCTTTTTTCAATCATTCAAAGAATCCGTTTTCCCAAATCAAACAAGATAATGAAAAAAATAAAATAAAGGAACGAGAGGGAAAAGAAAATAGAAGTACGAAACAAGAAGGAACAGTAAGTTAACAATCCTTACTACTTTGTCATAATAGGCAAAATCTTGAAACCACTATCCGGCAACTTGAAAAGCTTGAGCGAGCACGGGACCATCAAAACTCGCTTGTTTAGACATAGGTTTCCATGGCCAGTAATTGGAACTTGTCGAGTGCAAAAGATTTTTGCAAGATGAAGATAAAATCAACCTTACAACTGGGTATTTTTACCATATTCACATCTAACCAGCTACATTGCCTGAAAATTCATAAAGTGCTCGTCATAAACATTAATCCATAGAAAGACATGTTGGACTTACATATAGTATATGGATAGTAAATGTCAGATAAAAATTCCTGCATATTGTTCCAAGAGTTTGCTTTTAAGACGAGTAGATACTGAACATGCATTTACATGCTACCTTCTTGGTGCCAATTTCCCGGAGTTGATCCAAAATCTCTGCAAAATCTGTCGGTGGCATCTGATGAAAACGTAAGTCTTTTCCTGTGTGTGGATGCCTAAATCTAAACAAAGATAAGATATTAATTTCACACAGTAACTACAAATAAACATACTTGAGTGTAAAAATTATAAATAATAGTTTGTTACTTCCACCATATGGGGTATTTTGTGATCTAAAAAGCAAATGATTTCTTACCACAATTAAGGCAAGTATCTATGGTAACAACAAGCTGAAGCAAGACGATAAAGAGTAATCATACCCGAGAACTACAGCATGAAGGCAGGGTCTGTCTAATCTATCAACTAGTTGCAAAATTTGACGATGATGGCTAGCTGGGCTCCTTGACTGAAGCAAAGATATGGCCATGCTCTTAGTTCCTCCATACAATTCATCTCCCAATAGTGGGATACCAATATACTTTGCGTGGGCTCGGATCTAATGCAAAAAACAATCATCTGATTTACTTTAAAGCAAACACTGAAGTGGGGAGTAATTATATAACTCTTCAAATGTAATCAAGTAGAATTCTTGGGTATGATTTTGATACAGAAGACAACATTCTCTAGCATGCATCTCCACGCAAAAGTGTCAGCGTGCAGACATGAACAGTCAATGCAAAATAATTTAAGGAAAACAATCAAATAAAGTTCTTCAAAACTGAATCCGTAAATTGGTTCTACGAAGCAAACAAAAACTTCATTTTTTTCTTTACTAGTAAAGTGCACATGTGATGCACGTGATACATGATTTATAATTTTTTTATTTCAAATTATGGTTTATTTCATATTTCTATGGTTTATTTATTTGTTTGTATAATTATATTTAATTAATCAAGCAGAAAAAATACATTATTAATGAAAAATTTGGTGTATAAACCTCCATTCTCTAAGTTATTTTTGTTTGTTTGAAATACTTTTAATCTAGACAAAATCGTAAAATATATCCACTAGATGATAATTTTGCTAAACTTTTTATGGATATTTTAATTATCTGAGAAACTCAATGGGAAAATTTGTCATTTGTCGAAATTTCTCATAAATTATTAAATATATTTTATATTTTTTCTTTCTTTCTTTCTTTCTTTCTTTTTTTGTTCAATGCTTCAATACATATTTTGTTTTTGGGACTCAATAACATTCTTATTATTGTTTGAGAGGATAAAAATATTATTCATGCAAAAAAAAAAAAGAAAGATCTTCAAAACATATGTTTAAGCCGAAATGATAACTATTTTTTACAACAAAATGAACAAAAAAAAAACTTGAAGAATAAGAATATTTAAGTAACAAAAACAGATATTTAAAAAATAAGTTTGATCAACCGAAACAATAATTTTTTTTTATAAAATCAATAAAATTAATAAAAAAAATTTACAAAATAATTATCAAAATAAGTAGTTTATATTTTACAAAATAACTCCTTTTTAATAGTATAGTATAGATAGAAAGATAGGTCCAGTTGATATATGGACGCAAGTTACTAAGTAGGCATGTTTTGAGATAGACGTATGTATCCAAGTAAAACAAAATAAAGGGTTACAATGCACCAGAAAGAAAAAAAAAAATGATACCTGATGTGTGCGCCCAGTTTCTAACCTCCACTCAACCAATGCACAACCACCACCAGCGAGTATTTCAATTACTTTGTACCTGCCACAAAAGTTTTATTGCTGATCAAATGTATGTCTAAGGTGGGAATTCACTCAATGCAACAGCTCCACGTGAATACATAGATTATTATTATCAAATTGGTTAAGACGAAACAAGTTAACAAAGCATTATCTCCCTGCAGAACAATATCATGGCAAAACAATAACTAGAGTGTCGACTTAGAAATTTGTCATCATGGCATGCAGTTGATACGACATTCGGGGACACATCTCAAGAAACTTAATCATAGATTAAGAGGGATGGAAAATCTATTATCACCTACTAACAGCATTTCGGGCCTTTCCACGGGTTCCAAGTCCAGCACTAGCAACCATACGAATTCTGTTGTTCGGATCGCGACCTATAGGGATATCTACGCGGTTGGAAAGTGGTGAGGGCACTCCACAGGTAAGACTTACATAGACTCTCTTTGTAGTGTGTTTCTTGAACTGTTCAGCTAGATGGGCGTGAGAATGCTCATCCTGCATTAAGACGAATTATATAAAGAAAAAAATTAAAAAAAAAAAACGCAAGAATGCTCTAACTTTTCTAAATGTAACAAGCAACAATTTACGAAACTGAAACATTGAGCCACCTTTGCAACGACCAGCAATCCACTGGTCCCTTTATCTAATCTGTGGACAATTCCAGGGCGTACAGATTCCTCACATAAGCCAATGCCATTACTTTCATTACGACCTTGACTTACAGGAAAAGCACAGACATCATCTCCTGAATCATCATCAGTCTCAGTCAGTGCTTCTGGACTGAAACAGACAGTGGAAAGTCTGCAGTGGTGAAGAATTCCATTTACAAGTGTACTTGTTGGATTGCCTGGAGCAGGATGAACAACCTGGTTAAAGATGAATCCTTTGTTAAGACTCTAACAAGCAGTCCTATAGGCCAAGATATGTGAGAAGAAAAAGTATGACTTGCACCAATTATTTATTTAATGATGTTTGAGAAAAGAGAATGTAGAATCCGATTTCTGTTGATTTACCATGCCCTAAAGCAGATGTAAATCCGTCTTAACAACATCAAAGGATAATCTTCAGTGAAGTGTGTAGAAAAATCAGTGTGATTCAATCATTTAATGATGTTTAAGGAAGAAAATTAGAAAAGAATCTCAATTCTTTTGATTTACCATTCTTTAATTTCAAAATATGTGCTAACTTCAAGGAACCAATGCCCTAGAAAAGATGGTGTTTTTCAAGAGCTTATAGTAACCGACAAAATCCTAGCATCGAGTTTCTGCTTCCAATCAAATGGTGCACAAGTTCCAATGTCATTTCAGTTTGCAGCTTCTCGGAGAAGGAAATAAAAATAAGGTAAGAAAGTAGATGAGATTACGGTTTGAAAGGCTCACCATGTGAGCAGGCTTGTTAACAACAAGCACATGTTCATCTTCATAAACTATATCCAAAGGAATGTCTTCTGGCTCAGCCCTCAAAGGCTGTAACTCCGCTATCTGGCAGTTCACCACATCCCCATCTCTCACCACGTGAGAAACCTTCAATATAATACAATCAATCTTAATTAACAATCTCTAGATTCATATGTTTAAGAAAGTAAGATAAGACTCAAACATTTCCTATAACTTAGAAAGGCAAGAAAAATCACATTCATCAATCAGAATGTATTTTCTGAAAAAGATAATGAATAAAACTATTATATATTAAAAATATAGATAAAAGATAAATTTCAGCAACCTTATTGATGACATGGCCATTAACAGCCACCAATCCTGAACGAATGCTGGACTGAACTCTAGCTCTACTAATACCGTTAATGCGAGTAGAGATCCATGAGTCCAATCTCAGCTTGCCCGACTCCAATTCCACTGGTTCTTCAATTTTCGCACCGGAATAATTACTCTGCCGGCCGGAAAATGCGGCCAGTCCATCATCAGAGTCTGAAGCATTGGAATTTGAGTAGGCGGTAACCGTGCTTATGAGTTTCCGTAGAGAAGAGTTGCGTGGGTTTATTGGAAGGGGCTTAGCTGAAGACAAAGATAAGGAATGGAGGGAGAACATCTTCAAGATTATTGTCCAAATTACGATGGGTTAGGGACAGCTGATAGCCCCAGGTACAGCCTGCATGCAGGTAGATTTAGGCTAAACAACAATAAGGTCCTCAAAAAAGAGTTTCAGGGTTAAATACAAGTAAGATACAAAGATCAGAACACCAAAGCCGCGAGTTTCTTTACTGACAGCAGGAAATATCCTAGACCTTCATATCATAATAAGCAATACAATAGCTACTTTATAATTGAGTACACAAATTTTCAAGAAACGAGGGGCTGCAACATCTATACCCCAAGAAAATTTCATAATAAACAAATAAATTACTAGATTTTCAGAAAAGCAAGACACAATGCTGATCCATTTTAACACTCTTTTCTTAGCAAAGAGAGACATACTCCAACTTCAGAAAAACCCAGAGACTCCCGAAAGAGAAAAGCCCACTAGATTCAGTAGCATGACCACTGAGGCACTAAGACCATTCCGGAGAGACCATTTTTGAACTCATAGGACTTGACATTCTGAAGCATATTTATTTTTCCCACCACATTTTCCTACTCAATTAATCCGCCCAATTCGTGATTAATTCCTTAAATTCATTTACTAAAGCAACTCCAAAGGAGAACCGTGAATCCTACATCCTGCTAATAGTTTCATTCGACGAACATAATAGCTCTTGATTGCTATCCACTCATGGTACAATTTCATTAGAAACGTACCTGAAACGATATCACTCAAGGGAACAAAACTGGCGCCGGGAAACTCAAGGTGTTTCCGGCGGCGACCTTCGGCGGGCAGGCACGGGGACGACCAACTCTGGCTCGTCACTTCCAGGACCCCAGCGTTCACTGTAGCATTACCCTTCCGTAAAACAGTCCCCAAAAATTTTTTTGATATTAATTTTCCTTGCCATATTTTAAATTTTTTTATTTTTATTTTTTTGGTTTATCCCATTCGTTCTAATCAAATTTTGTTTTAAAACATACTTAGTAGAGCATAGTGCTGTTAAATGATAAGGTCGAGCTCAGGTCATTAAGGCTCAAACTCGTCTCAAACGAGTCGAGTTCGAGTTCATTTAGAGTTCTTTTGGTTAAATAGTCGAACTCGATTCGACTCGATAATACTCGAAAAGATAATTTTTATATATTCTTTTATAGTTCGGCTCATTAGAGCTCGAGATAGACTCGAACTCAGGTCGTTATTAGTGAAGCTCGAACTCGATTTCAGACTCATTTAATTAATGAGCCGAGCTCATCTCGACTCGTTTACAGGTCTAATAGAGCACCATCCATAACAACGATGCTAGTAAAAAAATCACTTACATTTAAAAGAACAAATGAATAATATAATTTTTTATTTAATTTCAAATACTTTTAACAAATGTTTGCATTACTATTTATAATTAAAATAACATTTTTCACTTAAATATTTTTTTTTATATTATAATATTTTTTAATTTATAGATAATTTTTTTAATTGATATATAATTTTATTAATATTCAAGTTCATATTAATAGATAATTTAATTTTTATACAAAACATTAAAAAATATTTAATTTATGTATACAACATAGATTTTCAATCAATCTCCTTGAGAATGGTTCATTTGATACGTCATATATGAAAAATAAAGATCGATAATAATTACAAATGCTATTAATTCTTAAACTATATTTATAAGTTAAATTTGTCAATTGTTTTTATAATTTGAAAAGTTTTAATATGTATGGGTAGAAATCCAATCAACATGAACTATTTTGAAGCACCATAAAATTGTTACATTGTATTATAAATCGCGGAATTCGACATATAAAGATTATGAGGAACTAAAGTCGACACATACGCTCGGAAAACTCTGTAGGGATTTGAGAAGTATAACCCTAATTTAAGGGAGGGGTGATCGGATATGAACCAAAATCGGTTTTGTTTGAATTTTAAGTTAAAATGAGTTGATTTTAAATAAAGTTGATTGAGCAAAGGATTAAGTGAAATTTTAAATTTTTATTTAAATATAATGATTAAAGTTGATGTGATGTAAAATTAGAAAAGATTTTATTAAAAGTAATAAATAGTTAAAAATATGTGTATAAATGAATGGGAACTAGTGTATACCCCGTGCGATGCACGGAAACAATATTAAATTAATAATATTATAAATAGACCTCGAGTTTGAATGTGGAAACTACTATTGTTCCTATTTAAAAAGAGGAAGCAAAAAAAATAATTATAAATTAAAGAGGAGGATAAACAATACTTAATAATTATAAATTAAAGATTCGGGGTCAAACAATGTAAAATTATTTTGTATAAGAGAATATAAAAAAAATTGATTACACACCATTTTAAAATTATTATTAATACTTTTTTGTATGGTTAGCTTATAATATTTGTAAGAATATTAGTAATTAAACCGATTAGCTTATAATATTTGTAAAAATATTAGTAATTAGACGGATGAAAATTAGCTTCTTAAAGTAGATAATGGTTTCCAGTAGTAATTATGAACTAGTTTCTATTTTATTTTATTTTTTCTTTTTAAAAATAATGGATTTCTAGTAATAATTATGAATTGGTTTCTATATTATTTTATTTTTTTAAATCTATATAGATAAGGGATGAGATTTTTTAAACACGTGAGATCGTATGCAATGGAATTTTGTAACAGAAGAGATAAGCTTGTAGATTTATACTAAAAATAGGAAAAAGAAAAATAAATATTTATTGTCAAACACTAAAAAAAATGAGCCGATTTTTTTGCCTATTCAGATTTGTTCAACAATTACTATATTAGGATATATTTAATGATTTTGGCGGGAAAAAGTTTCTAAATTTGTAAAAAGGTTATTCTTTTTATATAATGATAGATTAAAATTGATGCAAAGAAAATGATTAATTGATATTATTTAATGATATTGATAATATTGAAGAGAGTTAGATTTCATTGAATTTAAGTTGAATTTTAAGCTAAAGTGGGAAAAAATTATACGACCGATCAAAACTGATTTTAATCTATAGCCAATTAAATAACTTAATATATAATGGTAAATTGAAGGATTAATATAGAATTACCCATCAAGTCATATTTTAGAATAACAAAGAAGATTATATAAAATTTTAAAGGAGCAATCAAATCACTCTCATGTCCCAAGAATGTGAGATTCTTTAAATCAAATATCATATTTCAATTGAAATATTCTTTCATCCCATTTATCTCAATGATTTACAAGCACAGGTGTAACCGTGCAACTATGTTAAATCCTTATCTGAGCTGATTTGAGAAGCTTCATCCTATCTCATGTCCCTACATCATCAGAACAATGACTATTATTATACCTTGTAATTTATCTATGTTAGATCAAGAACATCCTGTCTAAATCATCCAGAGGAAAACAAACAAAAACACTAAAAACAAACTGACTTAATATACAACTGAGGCCCAAAAAAAAAAAAAAAAGTTAAACCTTTTCCCTCTCAATTCACAAAGACCCATTTATGGTCACTGTCCTTTGCCGGAGTGTGCATTCGGATCACTTTAACTCTCTATTCTCAAGCAATTTACTGAAGTCTTCCAATGTAATGCATCGATACTACCATCACGTCTCTGCAAAATTCTACTTGAACTATATAAAAGTAATAAATCAAATGAGATATATCAGAACTTATGAACATATCGATGCAACAATAACTAATCACCGATCATCCATAATTGAAAAAACAAATAATTTGTGGAGCAAACGCATAACCATCAACGTAATCTGAATAGAACATTAACTGCATCTTTCAGAAAACAGTTATAGTCAACAAGCAGTTGACTAAAACCACTCTGTTCACTGACTACAACGACAGAAGAGCCATAATCAATATCATCACTCAGACATAATCAAACTGGAAAAGGAGGAATATACTCGAGAAAACTTGCATGCAAAAATAAGTGGAACCACATTCTATACGCTTCAGATGAGAGCAAGAGAAAAGCTACCGCACAAATAGAAGTAGGATTAGAGAATACTTTTAACATGACAGGACAGTTATAGACAAATCTTTCGTACTTATAGTAAAATATAGTACAAACAGAAGCCTCCAGCCAAACATTACAAAATTGCCTTATACTACTTATAACACTGGAGTCACTTTCTAAGACGAAAAGAGTCAGACTACTGTACTAAAAATCTCAACAGAAGAAAAGCTTCCAGACAAGCGTATCAGTTCAAGAAGTCATACTAAAGAAAGCAGAGTACCACACAGTCGCCAAATATTTCGACTGAATCAAATGCTAGGCACAACCCACAATGGTGGAGCAAGAAAAGCACCCGAACACCCATGATCTAAACCCATTGGTACACCACCCATTAACTGCCAAACACCCATATCCAGACCTTTACCCTTTCCAGATTGATCGTCCGTGAAGTATATAGAATTAGGCTTTACCACACCCAACTCCGGGAGCTCTAGGCAGAGGGAAGAATTCAAACCCAAGAAGATAGCCGTTTTCCTCAGGCCCTTGATATTCTTATGACTACCATCCTTCAAGTCAACTTCAAGAATTTGAAATCTGAAAGTTCGGTTTTTCACAATGCAGCGACTCTCAATCAGAAATTTCCCGAATGACTCCACCAAATAAAGCATGAGTTTTCTAGGAAAACTATTATCAAAATCATTATTATCACCCGCATGTTGTGCTATGAATAAAAAATCATCCCCATTGGTCTCAACATTGCTAGGCAGACAGAAAACCTGCAATATTTGGGTCGGGTTCGGCCCATGGATATCACATTCTACAATACTCTTGCTAAGATCCACCGCATATAACCTCTGATTGTGGTAAAGAATATCACAGAACGAGTCCCTCCACGTACCCATTGCAGTCCAAGACAAGTCCCCCGGCCTCGAGAAGCCCAGCCGCTTATGCTTGCCCCAACCCCAAATCACCATCACCACAAGATCAGTCTTTCTTGTGGGGCTTCCAGACAAAACCATTTTCTTGATACAGCCAATACCCTCTTTTAGAGTGTATCCAGGAAGAGTACCCAAACCCGGAAGTTCAATTTTGATATGCCACACGGGGTGGGTCAAATAGACACAGTCGTCGCCATCGGAAAGGCAGAGTATCCATCCTCGACTAGAAAGGTAACCTTTTCCATCCTTCGGGCTGACATTGTTCAAGATGCGGGCCTTCTGGGAAGAGAGATCAAACAAACTAACAAAAACTTTCTTGGAACCACCGTCAGTGTTCCCCTCTTTTGCCGTTTCTTCCCCCTCGCTGGAAACACACATGAGCCATGGAACCCTAGGGACTTCCCCCTCGAAATTGTCGAAGGTGGCTGCCGATCGCCACGAACTGCAGACCCCGCGGAGGCGAGGAAGTCGTGGATTGAAGTCAGGTGTTTGGACACGGCCGCCATGAGTTCTACCGGCGCGTCGCGCCAGTCTGGATAGGACCAAGACTCGATTTTGGCGTCCGGAGCCGTCATGATTCCGGTTTTGGCTTATTTTTGTGATGGGGAATTGGGAATTTGACAATGGGACTTGATTGATTCGAATCGGACGCGGGAACCCTGATTTCAAGAGAATTGGAGGTGACGGCGAACAGGAAAAGTAATTCAAACACTGTGAAATGTGTGTAGCGACAGAACTGAAAGGGAGTTTTTCAACAAATGCCGGTCAGTTTGAGAGAGAAATTTTAGAAAATTAAAGGGTGTATTTGTTAATTGTTATACATAAATTTATTTGTACATTAAATCTAATTCAACTTTATTAATCTCAAATTTTCATTATTCTCTACTAGTGCGTGGCCCGTGCGATGCACGGAAAAATAATATTATGATTGTATTATAAATTAAATATATAAATAACATTAATCATAATTTATCCATTATTTTTAAATTAAACCGGGTTGGACACAGTCCGATCGGATGGACCGAGAACCAGTTTATAACCAGTCTAGCTCGATTGAATAAAATATTTGCTCTCGAATCCGTCCACACCAATCTGTTGGACTGGTAGGATCAATACGATTTTCTAAATAATTTTCGTTATATTTAAAATAATTTAAATAAAATTACATATTTAAATAAAATAGAGATTTACAAATTTTTTATCAATTAGTTTAAACATTTGAATTTATAAATTGTTTAGATATCTAAGTAATATATTTTATTTAAATTTATTACAAAAGGTACTATATATATATTAAAATATTTATAAATTAAAATATGAACAAACCAGAAATGATTTAATAAAATAGCTTAATCGTAACGATGACGGTCTAGTTCTGAAAACCTTATATTTTCTGTACATTAATAAATATTATAATAAAATATTATTTAATTCACATAAATATTAATAAAATGATATATAAATATTCATAAATCATTAAACATGTTGTCATAAACGTATTGTTAATACGATTATTTGAAGTTTAGACTACATTACATTCACATAATAAAATATTTTCAATTTAAAATTTATATTTAGGTTCAATAATCGATTTGGTGTGGTCGAACTGGTACATAACTTAGTCACCTCGGACCAACCAAACTGTGTCAAGTTTTTTGACTATTTTAAATATCACCTAAACGTAAATCAATCAATTTGGATAGTACCCTAATTCAATCACCCGATTGATCCAAAGAAATTTTTCTTATTTTCTTTAAATATATTTAATTTTATGAAATAAAAATATATTATGATTCATATAATAAATGTCTACACCAAATGATAGTATATTAAGATTATAAATTAAATATCTAAAAATGAATTAATTATTTTTACTTTATGCATATTAATAAAAAATAAACATAGTAATTTTCAAAAAGTTAAGATTATTTGATTGATTATGCAATTTAAAAAATATTTTTAGCGTTCAATATTTTTTTAAAGACACAAATATAAAGACCGGGATTCTAAAACTTTTGGTATATTTTGATTAGATTTTATAAATATATAGACTGAGATTTTAATGTTGTTTGTTGTTTCTAAAAAAAATAAAAATAAAAACATACACACTTAATAAATCTTAGCCGAATTTTTTAAATAATAAAGTGAACTAAAGCTCGAAATTCAAGGTAGCATTTAATGTTGTATGATTTTTAAATAAAAAAATAAGAAAAATATTAAAATTTACTATTTACAGGCTGCATTAAATTTTGACTATTTTTTTGCTACTATTTTTTGTAAATGGTAATTCTTATTATATATATATAGATATAGATATTATTAATATAATTAAATAATATTAATCTATTAACTCCAATATCTTCAATATTATTAATATCTAATTAAATAATACAATCTCGAGATGAGTTCGAATAAAAAAATAAGCTCGTTCAGTAGTCGAACAAAGACCTTGTAAACAAAAGTTTGTTCTTGTTCAACAAGAGCTCGGTTGATTATTAATCAAGCCGAGTTGAAACAGAAATTAAGCTCGTTTAGTAGTCGAACAAACACAAGCTCGTTCATGGACGTTCGATAATGTTCACGAACATTAATTTAGTGTAATTTTAATTTAAATTAATATTTTTATTTATGAATTTTTTTAAAAAATATATATATAATGTGAATTTTTTTTTAACAAGTTCGACGAACGATTCTCAATTTAATCAAACAATTTTAAAAAATGAGTTTACTAAATTACTTGAACACAAATTAAATCGAACTTTAATGAATAGTTAAAAAGGAACGATCTCGAATACATTTTTTGTTTAAAAAATTAGCGAACGAACACAAAAAGTAGTCAAACATAAGCTCAATTTCTATTACAAGTTACAAGACTATGTGAATAGGTAAATAATAAATTCAGTGTATTTTGTTTTAAATTGAGTTGATAAGATTGAGCAGAAAATAATCTGTATAGATGAACAGTAATTTATTTGCTCAAAATTATATGAAAATGTAGTTCCATTAAAAATAATTTATCCAACATAACAAAACTACAAATAATTTGTATCCAATCGCCCTTGATCACTCATGTATGTGCTCTTTCCAAACAAATCACAGGGTAATTGCAAAGTAAAGGCAAAAAATTTTCAACAGAACATCACAGTAAGTGCAAATCACACTATCAAGGTCACGGTAAAACCACAACACAAGGTGTGACAAATTTATTCAGGTCACAGTAAAACCATACCACAAGGGTTAAAACAAATGTATGCCTCAACACAGGCAAGAGGATCGAGACAAACAAAACTCAAAAGGTGCAACAAAGAACCCCAACAAATGGGATGACAATAATTCGTAAGTATTATTACATCTCTAAAACCGCTTCAAAATGTGGCTACACAAGGCTTGACTAAACTCAAGCACTTTTCTTCATCTCGCCGGACTTTATGATGTCGATGAACTCCGGCTACAGACAATGCACAAAAAGAATAAGAAATTTGATACCTATCCAGTTTTAATTATTTTTGTTTCCCATATCTTCGGATTTCCAGTACACAATGGAGAAAAGATGAGTGAGATATTTACCTTCAGAGAAGCACCCCCGACTAGAAAACCATCGACATCAGGTTGCACTGCCAGTTCCTTGCAGTTACCACCACTCACAGATCCTGTGCAAAGGTTAGGAGAAAAAAATATTCTGAATCAATTAATGACCGAGTGAAAAAAAAAAACAAAATATAGGACAATTTTAACACTGAAATCGCCTCACTTAAAAGTTCATTATTCACTCAATTTCACTCCTCGTACCAAATCATTCAACTCGTTTGTAAATTAAGAATCATCCAATCACTAATAATCAATCCACATTTTTTTATAGATATACTATCCATCCACTGGCAGAATTCTAACAACCAACCATATATTACAAATATTTTTAATATTTTCATAACAAACCCACCTGCTCTAATCTATACAAAATTATCTGTATGACAATGTATCTAATCATTTCCACATGTCTCTATCATGGAAATGGATAGAAGCAAATAAATATATCACAGATCAAGGACTTGGTATAGGAACAATATTTTACTAATTTGAATATTGGATATGACGCTTTTGAAAACATTGATGCAAATTTCACTACCTCCATAGATTATCCTGGTTGAAGCAGCAACTTCAGGGCTGATATTTGTCTGAAGCCACTTCCTCAATTCGTGGTGCACCTATGTCCAAAACAAGTCCGTTTAGCTGTTAGATTTGCAGCAGCAACAATGTCATGAACATGCTCATGCATTCCAACTCTGAGAAATGATAATTATAATAGTAATAGTAATTGGAAAAATATAATATAATAACAGGAAATATACAAAAACAGGAAAAAAAAATGCACAAGTATGTGCGACTGCAAGAAAACCAGAGGTCCATGCCAGACACATTTGGACGTGAAGCAAATTAATTCAAAGATGTATATTTTCACTTGATCAACCAAAATACTCATAACAGCAAAACTGGCACTTCAGGAGGCTACATACGTAAATAGAGATGGGCTATGAAAATGAAGAGGCTTACTTCTTGAGCTTGTGCAGGAGTGGCCACCTTACCGGTTCCAATAGCCCAAACAGGCTCGTAAGCCAGGACAACATTTGTCCAATCAGAAATACGCTCTGCATTGCAAAAGAACATTTAACATCACAGAATGAGGAATGTGAATGACCTATCTCATTTTCAGAATGACTACATTCATATTTCTGTGATGCAAGATCTTTGAAAAATTTTGGCGGTAAATTGAAAACAAGGTTATTAAGAAAACCCACGTACAGATGATGGTAGAAAGAACTTTAAAGGTTAATGAGAAATAAATAATGTTTCCACGGGGAACCATAAACACTGTAAATCATAAAACACAAATGTTTTATGCTACGGCACATGGTTTGATAACAATCTCTTGAAAATCATCACTTTGTTGAGGTGACTGTTCGCAGAACAATCAAATCATAGCAGCAGATAAATTATGAGAAAAAAGAATGGACATTTCAATATGCTAGGAAATTCTTCAAAACACATTACATGTTTAGTCACAAATACTAGGAATGCATTCAGAACAATACTACAAAGTTTGCGGCTTTGCGCATATTAGAACTCCAATCTTCAGTCATTTGTTTACATAAAAAAGATACTTCTTGTGAATATGGATCTTAAGAGAGCACATTTCAGCCGAGCCAGGTATGAAATGATAAATTCCTCGCTTGGTTGATAGCTCAATTAAATGATATTATGGTGCATGCTATGATATTATAGCTAAAATTCCCTGATTCATTAGAATTTTAGCATTCAGTACCTGCTATGGCCTTAGTTTGTGCAGCAACAACATCCAAAGTAGATCCTGCTTCTCTCTGTTCAAGAGTCTCGCCAATGCAAGCAATTACCTTCAGACCTTGAGCAAGGGCATATGCAACTTTATCTCCAACAAACTGAAATTTGTTGGACAGTATGACAACAATAAGGATGTAAGAAAAGCAATTCAATTGGATAGATATAAGGAACAAACTCACTGAATCTTACCTCACTTGTTTCACCCAACAAAGCTCTACGTTCAGAGTGACCAAGAATTACCCAAGGTATGTCCAGATTGACAAGCATCTCAGCACTACACCACAAGAGAAATGGAACTTATAAAACTCTCATATCCTTTAAAAAGTAATAAGCAAAAATACTTAACCGATTCACGAACTTATTGCCTTTAGAATATGACGACATCATGAATGCTAATTGGAGTTTATGTTAATTAGTCAATAGAAACCAAGGTTCATCAATTTTCCCCATTCTTCAGCAGTAGCAAAGGAATAATTTTTTTTTCAACCAATAAGGTAACAATAAGACCAGAAGCTTTGTGGTGGGGGATTTGAGATAAACACTTTGCAACAAAGATAATAAAAACCCTGGAAGACTTTGTATGAAGCCTTACCTAATCTCACCAGTGAAAGCACCCCCTTTCTTAACCCAACAATTTTGAGCTGCAACATGGAAATCCGGCCGCAGAGAACTCTTTACAATGGGGAGAAACACAAACGGAGGGCTGACAACAACTTCTGCAAATAAATGGACAAGTTAATTCTACGATTAAAGAAAAATAAAAAATAGCATTAATAAAAGAAAACTCAAACTGTAAAAACTGCTGGGAAATAGTAATTGATTTCTTTACAGAATTGGTACACCAATGTCCATAAACAGTTTGATGGACAGTTTTCACGCAAGCGTATAATTACACAGTATCAGATAAAAGCAAAATCTTATAATTAAACTTATTTCCTAGAGTCTGTTCAAAAGATTCAGATGCATAGGTTAAATCATCTTATTAAGTCCCCATGAAAGAAAGCGATCACTAAACAAAATCCCAAACTTACCATGCAGAGTAAAAGAATAATCATAAACAAGCAGAAAATAATGAAAACTGGCTCTAGGGAGTAAAAAAGGAATATAATACGCAATATCACACAACAAAAATGAAAGCTACTTACGGTAAATTAGTATCTATAAGGATAAAGGTTGCTATGGTGTTTATACAAAGTTTGGAGAGAAAAATAGCCAGTCAGAAATGATATGGAATTCCTTATAGAGCGGAATAGCCTATTTGGCATGCCATAGCAATCAAAGTTCCATTCCATATCGAACAGAGTTCTCCATATTGCATGCCAAAAGGTAATTGGGCTCCATATCATCTCTGCAGTGCAAATTACTAGATTTATTGTATTACGTAAAATAAGTTAACATGAAGATTAAAATGTGTCACATTGTGATGGGCAGACTTCATGACTTATACACACAGGGCAAAGTTGGATATATACTCAGATCTTTAGGAAAAAATACAAATACGCTAATAAACAAGCTAAGCAAGCACTTGAAAGTATGGGACAAGAAGGACGGACATAGATATAGATGAATCCTTTACTTATGTTGGACGAGACCATGATGCGAAAGGTAGTTCTAAGAAGCATACACTCAAGACTGAAGAACAACTTCTTAAAGCTTTTTATGAGTTTTAAATCCAAGATGATTGTGATGCCTTCACATTCCCACGTAAATTTCAAACAGCGGTCGTATTTATTCTAAAAGGTTTTACTTGCAATGGTCAGGGATGGTACATCATCCACAGATAAATATCATGTTGACCTGCATATATGCTGCTCTTGTAAGACACAGGAGAACCGCATGTCAGCAGACAAGCTCGAGAAAGGGATCAAACAGGATCACATGATCCATAATTACGTCAAGTTTTTAGCCCAGGACTTGACCTTATTGTTCACAAACTAGTATCGGGCGCTTGATGGCTTTACTAGTGAGATGAAAGAATTCTACGATGAAAATGGGGTGCATTCAGATATAAAAAAGTTTGCATGAATCTGCTAAAGCGGAAGTTAACAAAATTATGAGTAGGGACGCTCCCCCTTTATTCCCACCAGTGAAGCTGGCATTGGCAGCTTTACGTAGGTCTTCTGAGTTTCATAAAGTGACAAAGGTATTGAATAAGAGCATGCTCTCTCAGCAGCATCCACCTCATAACTATTCAAATCTCACTCTTTCTCTAAATGTCTTTGATATGCTGATATATAAACTAAGACTTATACCTCAAAAAAGGTAAAGCCCATCGATAGGAAATTCAGGACATGTTTGGAGCCAAGCTCTCACAACAAAAGTACGCACAGATCAAATGAGAGTTAATCTGGAATGCAAGGCATGTCATAAGTATCCAGGTTAGAGGCTGAGGAGTAGCATTATAGTTGATGTGACTGAATTTGTGGAATTTCATTACAATGCTGCTACGATAGAAGAGAAATGTTGTCTTACCGTATTCAAAGTAATGCTGGATACAGTTCAAGAAAAAAACAAAAGAATAAGAAAATGTAAACGAAGCAGAGAACATCTCAGTATTTTTATCTCGTGGAGGAAGTTTTAATTTATTTATAACATTATACTTTTAACACATATAAGTTGGAAATTTTCCATTCAGATGGATATTTGTCTTTTAGGTGAAGTTCATTAAAGAAAAATAGCAGTTAATTTGATAGCAAGGGATGTGTTTGAGAAAATGTTTCAGCAGGTAATTTTTCCTTCAGATGGATGCATTTGTTTGTATAAATAAATAAAAAGTCACATTGTCATAAGCATGCATCCTCACCAACAACATCTTCAGATGGCACATCAGCAGCATTGAGTGTTGATACAATCTTCTTTATCTCTTCTGAGGTTCCATTCTACAAAACCATTGCAATCTTTTACAAGACAATATACAAACAGTAGAAAGATAATAAAACTGAAAGTTAACCAAGGTGTCTACAAGCAAATCATACAGCAAAGAACAATTCTACCCTGCTGGAAAAATGCAAACTTGAATGAAAACATAGGAGGCATGGCATACAGTGTCATACAGTTTTGAGGTGTTTTAATTATAGTTGCAAACTGCTCTTCGTATGATTTAAAAACATTGTTCCTAAATCAGAAGCCCACTACCAACTGATCAAGTTCTTCAATAGGGTAAAAGTAGTGTTTTCATATAAACAGAAGCAAGATAATATATCGAAAATCTCCTTCAGATCTGACCATAAGAGTTGTTAAAATTCAGTTTAGGGGATCCAAAAACAGAAACCAATTTCACATCAGAAACCACTTCAAACAAAAACTCACCACATGAAAAGATTAACCGAGAATCTAAAAGCATTGTGATTTCAGCAAAGAACATGTGTAAATTAAGACATTTACAGGATCCCAAAACTGACCCTTGTTGCAATAACAGGTTAGATATAACCAATAAAACATTAGATACCACTTCAAATATAAAACCATCTCAGAAAAGGATTAGCTGAGAATCTAAAGCATTAGGATCTCAGTTGAGAACATGAGTAAATTAAGATAGTATATGGAGATCAGGATCGGGATCGAGATCGAGATCGATTAAGGGAACTCAAATGGCAACCATTCAACGAAGAGGATCGAAAACTCACGCATTTCCAGTTGCCGCCGACGAAGAATTTCCTGGCCATGGCTTCTTCTTTGGGTTGATGGCGATGAATTGCTCGACAAGAAAAATGAGTAGGGTTGCGTTAATGGCTGGCTGTGAGTGAGTGAGTTTAGGTGATGGCCGTGAAATTTATGTGTGGAGAGGCCCTTCGTTAATTGCGGATCACGAAATGTGCGATTGGTCGATAATGCCCTTGGGTCTCGAGACGGTGAAATAACGGCATCCATCGAGGCGCACATTGCCGGAGTCAACGGCACGAGTGGTCGTGGAAATTTGGACAGTACGAGCATGTTTATTTATAAAAAATTTTGGTTTTGTTTGGATTTTTTGGTTTGGTTTGGTTAATTTTGAAAAAAAGTGGTATGGTTAGTTGTTAGTGAGTATATTAAAATAATATTTAAAATAAAATAATTAAAATTGATTTGATGTAAAAATAAGAGAGAGAGATTTGAAGTGATAGTTAGTTAAAATGTGAGTGGATGAATAGTGAATTGAGGTTGATGTCGTGTGTATGAATGATTGATTGATATTATTTAATTATATTGATAATTTTAATGATAGTGAGGTTGAGTTAAAGTTGAGTTAAAAAAAAAAGTGGTTGAGTTAAAATGTGTAAATTTTTTTGAAAATTTCATAAACAAACATGCTCTACAATTTTGGAATGACAATAGGCCTGAGTCCAATTATTATGTTTTTCCTCAATTGTTAATGGGCATATTGCACTTAGCTGTATTTTTTAGTTTTAGTTGAGAGAATTGAGTGAGAGATTTTCTTACGTAAAGTTGTTACTACTATAATACTCGTGTCCTACACAGTATTGAGTTAAGAAATCTATCTATCTATATATTTATTTATTTATATTTATTATTTATTTATATATATTAAAAAATGTTGATGGAAAAATCTAAAATAATAACTTTGACTTTTTAATTAAATGAATTGACTTACTAATTAAGAAAATATTTTATAAAATAATTAATTCTCATATTTATTTTTTGAATTCTCTCTGAATATAAAATCTAAGTAAGGAAATTTTATCTAAATTTTGATTTGTAAATCCTAATTTAGAAGAGAAATATGAGAGAAAATTATAATACGACAAACTCACATGTTTCGAGATCTTGTGTGGCAAAATTCAATGTTTCATTATTTGGCTTGGAAAGATTTTAATTCTATTTCAATCCAAAAATAATTAGGTTCAGATTATCTATAAATCGGTTGATTATTTATGGTCATTTTAGATTATTAATTGTATTTTAATATCATTTTCTATTATAACCACTGAATTGTAAATGTATTTAAATGTTAATAACTTTTGTTTTTTTATCGGTTTTACATATATAACATATCAAATAATCATTTATTGATGAGTTTCGATTTGATGTCCATATTGTATGTATAAATTAATGAATTTTAGTTATCTTTATAATAATAATAAATTTATTTGTTTAATTAGAAAATAAAATTATTTATAAATTAATATACTTATGTTTAAAGTATAGTATAGTAGTATAAGTTAGAAAATTATTATGATATAATATATGTAAGTCATATAAGAAACAAGTGTCATTCTAAAATATATATAACTAGTACGACACCCGTGTACTACACGGGTTGTTTGAAAAAATATATAAAACATAATATAATAGAAAAACACATGTTGTCATATAAAAGTGCAAAAATAGAAAATATCAAAGTCGATATTATTTCAAATTTCGAAAAATTTCTTTGTACAGAACATTAATAGTTTTATTTACAAATTTTTCATCCTTATCGCAACACAGAATTTTCAAGTCTTTCCTACTGTTAACTCTAGATAATGTAACATAAAGTTGACCATGACTGAATACAGGATTAGGCAAGTACAATCCGACGTTAGACAATGTCTGTCCTTGACCCATATTAATAGTCATTGCAAAACAAACCATAAGTGGGAATTGTCTTCGTCGAAACTTGAAAGGCAATCTCACATCAGCAGGAGTCAATAGCATCCGCGGAATATTCCTTCCCGATATAACCTTAGCCTCAACAATGCGATCTCCAGGTTGAGTGATGACTAACTTGGTGTCATTACACAACCCATAAAATAAATAAAATTATCAGTTCTTCTTTCTAATTAAAAATTAAAAAAGTAAAATAAATTAGTTAAGATTTAGGAATGTATAAATGCCAAAAAAAAAAAAAAAAAGAATGGTCGAGTGATATTGAACATATAGCAAGGGATATCTCGATATTCCCAGGGTCTAACTGCCGTACACTCGTGAAATTTTAACATATATTGATGTTGGGTAGTTTTGTAATCACCTTTGTTCTCTTGTATCTCGAAATTTGTCGTTATGTAAAATGATCCTTCTTTTATAATATCTTCATATTTCGAGATGGTAGCTTGGATTTTTCCATCCTGTAAGAATATAATGAAATTCGTATTATTAGAGAAGATTATATTGCTTGAAATTTTTCACCCTATAAGAATATAATGAAATTCATATTATTAGAGAAGATTTGATTATTTTTCTAATGATTTATTATAAAACAGGAAAATATTAATAATAGTGTACCTTTTCGTCTAAGACACAAATCTCTATTGCAACACGATTTTCAGGTTGGTTCTTGTCATGTTTGAACCATACACGCTCATAACGGACGAGTATTTTTCATGTTTCTTTAGCCGATGTTATTTCTCCAATTGTGTTGAAAACAGTTGTCATAGTAAATTCAATTTTTGTAAGATGAAAAATTGAGATGAAGGGATGGTGATTTATATATTGTAGAGAACAACTACACTTTATTCATTTAATTAAATAATAAATATAATTTTGGAGGGGACTGGATTAAGCAAAAATATTGAGAATGCAATCCGATTTGTTTTAATCACACCGATTTTGGCAAAGATTAAGCAAAAATATATTATAATATTATATAAAAAATCCTATTTACACGGCATATAAGAAAAAAATATTTGATTAGTACAGGATTCTTAATCCGTGTAATTTTTGTGGTTCAATATTGATAGTTTCAAAGATTAAGCAAAAATATATTATAATATTAAGCAAAAAATCCTATTTACACATTTAAGAATCCTATTTATTTTGGAGTTAGAGGGGATTGGATTAAGCAAAAATCCTATTTGTTAAGTATTTTATTTTAAACAATTAGGGAATGAAGGTGATTGGATTAAGCCAGAATATATTATAATATTAAGCAAAAATATATTATAAAACATAATTATAAATAATCAAATTAATAATTTATAATATAAGTGCTAGGATAATTAAATATAATCAAATTTATAAGTGCTGGGATAATCAAATTTATAAATTTATAATTAATAAATATATTTTCATTTGTACTAGGATTTACAAGTGCATTTTACCTCTTCTAATATTTCTTTTAAATATTTATTCGTATGAATAAATGATCTCTTGTTGGGATAAAATATTAATAAACAACTTAATAAACAACCTGAGGGATGTTTTTCTTTTTCCTTATCCTATAAAAATATTCATTTTTTGAGTTCATATTAATAAACAACTTAATTTTTTTAATAGATATAGTGACAATGAGCTCTCGGTTCAATTTATTGTGCCGCCAAAATGTATTCTAGACACCTCAACATAGAGGCTTGTTGGTTGGGGAGATGGCGTTGGACGTCGGGGAAGTGACTGCCTATGCGGATGGGTACAACAATGCCTGGGTGATATGGGTGACGACTTTGATTTCTAGATTTTTACTCCTTTCTTTTCTTTTCATTTTCTCTTTTCCACGTGAATCGGTTATACTTGGTGACATGGTGATATAGAATGATTTGCGATAAAAGAGATGATGAAGATATTCATTTAATTATGTTTAATTATGTAATACATGATCTATTTTACTTTTCTGGCTGCGTTGTACATATCTATATATATATAAAAAGGTTGTTGTTAAAATATCTTTTTAGAAACTTTTGACCAAAAAAAAAAAAACTTTGACAATCTAAATATAGAAACCATATTTACTGCATTTATAATACACGAAATTTTAAAAAAGTCATACTTCAATTCAAAAATTTGTTTATTAGAGATATTATTGGGATTGTGGATAAGTCACAATTGGATCCATAATTATCATTACATGATTAATTTAAAAATTAATTGATTAGAGATATTATAGGGATATGTGGATAAGTCACAATTGGATCCATGATTATTATTAGAGATATTATTGGGATTGTGGATAAGTCATAATTAGATCCATAATTATCATTACATGATTAATTCAAAAATTAATTGATTAGAGATATTATAGGGATACGTGGATAAGTCACAATTGGATCTATAATTATTATTATATAATTATGATTGTTTGGTATAAAATCATATGCACTACCACTACTCAACAATTCACGTCATTCACAGTTTAGAAAAAAAGAAAAAAAGAAAAACCGAGATAAATTTTACAGAGAAAAAAAAAAAGATAAATTTCAGAACATATTGATAATAAATGCCGCCAGTCTGGGATACACTCGATTCCATAAGTAGGAGAAACAAACATTTTTTGCACTTGAAAGCAGTCCTAATAGTTGAAACGCATCACCAACGGGAGAGTAGGAACGCATTCCATATACTATTTCATGATGAACAGGTAAATATTTATATTTGTAATATCAAATTTATGTAATTTTAAAAAATATTTTAATTCATATTTATAAATTTATACTGTAGGGTACATTCATTAAAGGGATAATACGTTCCAACATATTGGAGCATTTCGAGGTGTATGTAATCAGCAACTATGTCGTTGAATTTAATAATGGGAAGAAGGATATCATAACCAACATATGGAAACTTGTGTTTCATGGAAGAACTCATGTTATCAAATATGGTGGGATTTTACCTCAAAATGTTGATATTTTCCCTCAACATTAGCAAGGAGCAGGAGATATTTATGATATTTAGAGTTTGATTATTATGAATTTTAATTTCATTCCATGTTGTTGAATTCCGAATTCTATAATAAATTTTAGTGTTATTATATTTGTTATCGTTATAAAATGTCGTTGGATATTTTTTTTTATTAAATGTCGCATGAATGTGAAAATTTAAACATTTTATTTTTGAGTTCTACTGTATATTAGTTTAAAATTGGTAGAATGCCATGATACAAGATATAAATTAATACAAATTTTAACAAATATTTCAAATATAAGATTATATAAAAAAATTACGGAATTAACAGTAACTGAATTAAGTA